AGGATACAGCCAAAAAAGCCCAGAGCAGCCCTGTTGTTTTCTTCTTCCAGTGAAGTGTTCTAAGAGTCCATCCTGGCACATCTTTGTGAGCTTTCAGCGTAGATGCAAAAAGCTGTATTCAACCTCCATCCTCCTGATTTGCTGAGACCTGGAAAATTTAACACACTCAAGTCAAGCACGACATGTGATTTTAGCTGCCGCCAAAACACAGGGTGAAACATTTTCTGAAACCAAACATTTAATTTCAACGTTTCCTATGGGAATGATCCTGTCCAAAAACGGAACCAACTTCCCTTAACAATTCCAAAATGAAACCTGGCAAGTTTTTTTACTTAAAAGCAGAATTTCCATCAAAGAAAATTATTTTAATTTGCTAATTGTTTATTTGCACAGGCTGTGAATGAAACAAGACACAAAATGCCTGCAGGGAAGGCAACATATGATGCAGAAAATCCAGAGTGGAACAATATTCCCATCTGGCATCTGCTCACTTGGAGCAATATTCTGCTGCCCAAAGCAGTTGGTGGTCAGGAATGGAACCAATCCCTCAGGACAGAAAAGTGGTAAATAAACATGAGGTCCCCTGGAATTGCTGCTCTGTGATTGGATCCAATTTCCAGGACACATGGATAATCCTTGTTTATCTTCCCAGCTCCCTGTGCCAATCCAGCTTTATTTTAACAGAGAGAAATTAAACTCCTATGGATCTTTGGAAGGAAAGCCAAGCCAGGATGGAGCTGAGGGATGTGGAATGTGCACAGAGCTCACCAAAACTGGGGGACTCCCCAAAAACACCATGTCCAGGGCTCTGTGCTCTTTACTGGAAGAAAAGACATGTCCCAGGGCCAGAAGAAAGGATGGGATAAGACAAATACCCTGCGACCACCTTCAGCCTTTGGAGTTCATGTTTTCAGGCAGGGTCACAGCCCCAGCAGCCCAGCCTGGAGCAGGGGATACCCCAAAGACATTACAAGGAGATGTGGAAGACCCAGGTTCCTTAAGGTGCCACCATCCAGGCACCAGAACAGGAGAAAGGAGGTACAAGACCCCTCCAAAAGTCTGAGGTTCCTTCAAGATACAACAAACTCCAGAGAGAGCAAGCTCTCCCAGGTGTGTGCAAGGCAGCAGTGATGGAGGTGAAGCTCTTCACAAAGCCTGGACTGGACAAAAGTCTCCGTGCTGGCACAGAAAACAATTATCTGGGGAAAGCAGGTCACACCTACACTTCAAAGTCACACAGGAGTTGGAGCTGACTGGCCTCCAGACACTGCTGGGAACAGGCTCAAAGGACCCAGCACAGGGCAACACCTATGGGAAAACTTTTTGAGGAGCTCATCCTAATTCATCCCTTCAGGAAATGGGATTCATGGACTCTCGTCTCCCACTCAGGGGGTCTCAGAGGGGTCTGGCCCCACAGCACAGGGATGCTGTGAGTTCAGTGATCTCCTGTGGAAAAAACTCACTCTTGCTGGTCTTCATTAATATGGGATGAAATCGTAAATTATGCCCGAAATGAGTAGGATTTGAATTTAGTTTGGAAGCCCAAGATTAACCCAAAGGCTTTAATTTAAACAGTTAACCTAAATTACAGTCTTGACTTTGCTGATAATTAAACTGAGATTAGGTAGCACAGGTGAACTCAAGGTACTTTGACATGCTCTTGTTTTACAAATATGGTCATTTTTGCAAACAAAACACAGAGAGGAACATCCAAAAATTTCAGTCTGAGAAGTTGCATCAGATGAAGGATTCCAAAGTGGATTCTGGACAGCAGCGGCGGAGCAGAGAGATGGAAAGGAGGTGATGAAAAGCTGTTGGGGGCATCCCTTTTCACTAAACCACAGAAAAATGGCTCAGATTTCTCACTAAAAGGGCTGGAATTGCATTTATTGCCCTGACAGAAGCAGAACTCCCTATTCTCAAAGGAGAGGTTTTTACCTTGACAGTAGCATGGTGCCAGATGCAAATTCAGCCAAGACTTTACTCCCAGGTTTACAGCATTTGTAAAATGTTCTCCTGCCTCTTGCTCTGGCCTTGCAGAGACTATTCATCCTGGTGGGAAGAAACGACGAGGAGGAGGGAAGTGAGCTCCAGAACCCGCCCAGCCTCTCTCACACCGGGGGAGCTCTGGCCCAGAGGAACCTGCCCAGACACAGCTGTTGAGGTAGGATCAGGAGGAAGAGCTCCCGAGCAGTGGGTAAGCTCCAGCACCATCCTCTGGAACCTCTGTATTAGGAGGCTCCTGTACCAGAGCAGCAAATTCATTCCATGTCTGGAGCTGCAGGATCATGGGAGACACTCTCCCAGGAGCTACCTGGAAACCCTGTGTTTCATCAACAGAGCAGGGTGGGGACCCCCCTTTCCATCAGCTCATATCCCAAACCTGTAGCTACAGCTCCTTGTGCTCCCAGTTCTGCCTTTTGTAATTACCTCTGAAATTCCTTCTGGGTGAGTGACAACCACATTACCTCCACCCTGGCAGAATGTGGAATGGAAAGAAATTAATTCCTTCTCAGTTGCTTGGAGGATCTGCATTATTACTACTGTTATTAACTATGGGCGCCAACGCACTTGGTAGATTCCTTAGCCAAAAAAAGACAAGTTTCAGATGTAAAGGGAGCCTTTGGAAAAAGAAAAGCACTGACACATCCCACTGGGAGAACTGGGGGGGCTCTGCCCTGCACACCCAAACTTCCCACATTGTGCATCTCCCTAGGGAGGGAGGATCTGCTCTTTGGTGCTGATCTCTACTGGAAAAATTGGAATAAAACTCCTTTCACGTACTCAGAGTTAGGGCAGATGGAAAGAGCTGAGAGATCAATTCCCAAAGGAGCCATGGGCTAGCAACTTCCAGCTGCTTTTGAGTATCTTACAGTCATGGAGTTGTTTGGGTGGGAAAGGACTTCAAAGCCTATTCCATCCCTGCCATCCTCCACCATCCCAGGCTGCTCCAACCTGACCTTGGACACTTCCAGGGATGGGGAAGCTACAGGTTCTCTGGGCAACCTGTGCCAGGGCCTTGCCATGCTCACAGGGAGGAATTTCTTCCCAATATCCAACCCAATTTTCTCCTCTTTCAGTTAGAAATCTTTCTGCCTGGGACAGAAATCCAGCATGTGGGAATGAATCTCATGACCTCAAGTCCTGATATCTGTAGGTTGGTGGGCAAAGCCTCCAAGCTGATCAATAATCTTTTAAAAAATGCCCTTTGGACACAGACTTTGCTTACAATCTGTTTGCTTCCAGGTCCCAGGGGTGCAGAGTCAGACACAGTGACACAGACTAATTCTGCAAAACTTGCAGAATTCAGCTCTTCCTTGCAATAAAATATCAGTCTGACAATAAACACAAAACCAACCTGACAAACCCTGTCTAAGAATAACACTGAATTTAAAACCTCCATTGCAAACATTGTCCCTCAGACAGCTGGGAAACAACGGGGACACAAAGAATTTCTGGGAGTTTCCTGCACTTGGCTACATCGCCAGGCAAGGGCAGATGGAAGCACAACTGCCCCCACCATGGTGATTCCTCATTATTCCGTTGATTCCTCATTATTCCATTCTTCCCGTGCTGCTGCAGCAGCTGCTCTGGCCTGCAGCCAGCACAAGGGGAAGCTGCTCAGGGTTATACATTTACAATTTCAGTCTTTTGTATAAATAAATTAAATACAAATCCTATTTTCCTGAACAACACAAAACACCACAAGCACTTTTGTCTCTTAAAATGAATTGTTTTTTACATTTTTATCTTTTATTATTAGTTAAACCACCTGTTAAATGCAAAGGGGTGTGCTGCTACCTGTGGTGGGAAAGGAAAGACCCAGGATGTCCTAGAGTGTCCTGTGGATCTGGGCAGAGGGAATCCTGTAGAGCACTTTCCAGTGGATTTCAGCAGGCAGGATCACACTTCCAGATGTGCTGAAGGAGTTGATTAAATACTTGAGAAATGACATTGTATTTAATGTGTGCATTGGGAACAGCCCTGGAGCACTCCATTTCCACAGAGCCAGTGGAGTCAAAGCAGTTCCCATTCCCACAATCTTTCCTCCTATGTATTTATTTCTTAGCTGTTTGCTTGTTTGTTTTCATCCTGCTGAAATAAAGTCCAAACCCTCAAACCCAAGGTAGCAGCACATGTTTGTGACAGAGCTCAGTGGCAGCTGTAAAATCCACACAGGAACAAAAAGACCTTGTCAAAATATTCCATTTTTATTCACATAAATATATTCTTTAAGACAGTGGAATAAGCCTGGAGAAGCAGGATTTCCAGCAAGATTTCCAGAGGGACCTGAGCTTTTTAGGGATGGGGAGCAAAATTGTATCTGCTGATTTCTGTGGTGGCTCAGAGGGGACTGCGTGTCCACAGAATCACAGGAGGGTTTGGGTTGGAAGGGACCTTAAAGATCATCTAGTCTGATGGACAGGGACACCTGCCATAGACCAGGTTGCTCCAAGTACCATTAAACCCGGCCTTGGACACTTCCAGGGATGGGGAGTCCATAACCTCTCTGGGCAAATTTCACAAGAATCGTATCACAGAGATATCCCAAAACCCCAGGATAAAACAACTGACTGCAGGGCTGGCTGTGGAACTGGCACTGGTCCCGCTCCTAAAGCAAAAGGATTTAAACTTTCCCAAGCCCTGCTTGTGAACAAAAGAAGGGGCGAAAGCAATCCCGAGGGATGAAGTTTTCCAATGACAGAGGTGTTGACTGACAGGCACTTGAGCGGTGTTTTGCTGCCAGTGCCCAACGTGACTCATCAGCACTTTCCAGCTTTGAAATGGGGACGAGTCTGGCTGTCTACAAAGACCGGCGACAGTTATTCCCAAACAATTCCCTGTTGCTGAGAACCCGGGCTGTATTATTTTAGCAGGGCGTGTGTGTGGAGTGAGTTCACTCTCCAGAATGCTGTTGGACATGCCAAGCCTAATTCATCAGAAAGATGATCCACCTCATCCAACCCATCCCAGGCTCATACATGCATAAAAGGGCTCTCCCCAGCCCTTGTGAGCACAGGTTCACCTCTCTCCTTCCCCTCCTACTCCTTGCTCCAGGCCAGCACCTTTGCTCCTTTATTCTAGCTTCAGCATCTGCCTCAATCCAAAAAGCCCCAGCAATGTCTCGCCAGTCCACTGTGAGGATTCAGAGGGGGAGAAGTGGCTTCAGTGCTGCTTCAGCAGTGGTGCCCAACACCTGCCGGACCAGCTTCAGCTCCTGCTCCATCACCCGCCTGGGCAGCTGCAATGCTGGCAGTGGCTTTACCAGGGTTGGGGGTGGCTTTGGAAGCAAAAGCCTCTACAATGTTGGTGGTTGCAAGAAGATCTCCGTGGCTGGAAGGGGTGGCAGCTTCTATGGCTCTGCAGGGTTTGGTGGTGGCGCCGGGAGCATGTACGGGGGCGGCTTTGGTGTTCCAGCCAATCTTGGCTATGGATATGGGGCCTTTGGGGGTGGCCCTGGATTCCCAGCTGGGGGCATCCACGAAGTCTCCATCAATCAGAGCCTCCTGAAACCGCTCAACTTGGAGATTGACCCCAACATCCAAAGGATCCGAAAAGAGGAGAAGGAACAAATCAAAACCCTCAACAACAAATTTGCCTCCTTCATTGACAAGGTGAGATCTGAGCTTTCCTAAATTTCCTGATTTTTTTGACAGGGACAGTTTTCTTTTCTGCTTGATGAAGGCAAAAGCTGATCAAGGAGGAATAGAAGTGAGGAATGAGACTGGAAGGTGCCCTGGAAACTCCAGGGAATGGCACCTGTTCCATAGCGGTTGCCATGAATTAATCATCCAGTGTTTGAGTTCCTCCTCATTTGCTGCTCCACATATCACAGGCTGTGGGGAAAGATATCTCCAAAGGACAATCCCACCCTTTTGGAGACTTTAGGCTCCTCCAGTGAGCATTTCAGGAGCCTTGGGAACAGCTTTGTAGATGATTAAATGAATTCCAGAAACCCACCTAAAATTACCAAGAAATTGGCACAAGGGAGAAGCAGCTTCTCAATTCTTGAATTCCCTCAAAGGCATTTAAATCTGTTACCAAAATGTTTGGATTTTTAGTTCAAAATATCAAAATCTGATCCAAATCTGTCTGTCCACCATATTTCACTGATGCACAAGAACATCTGCTCAGCTCCTGCTCTGATCAAACTGCTCCTCCTTGGTTTCAAGGAAAATGCTGAAATATTTTTGATGTTTAGTGAGGTAGGGGAGCTCTACTGAAGGGAAGGAGGAGCAGCACCTTAACAGTGATATTTTAATTAGAGAGCAAGCCCTGTTTTGCTCCTTATCTGATTTTGCTTACATTTTTACCACAAAATCCCTGTACCGGTCTCAATTTAAACCATGAATGGGAAGCCAGAAAATCAAGTGTTGTTCCAGAGTTTGTAACACTGAACAGGGTCCTTGCAGTCAAATTTCCCAACAGATGAGAATTTGGCTCTGAAAACCAGCTGGAAGGAACACTTCATGCTCTCAGCCAGTTCTGAGACCCTCCCATTTTGCAGGGAAATTCTCTCCAGTCTGTTCTTTCAAAGCCTCTTCAGGATATTTCTCCTTCCAGGTCCGATTCCTTGAGCAACAAAACAAAGTGCTGGAAACCAAGTGGAGTTTGCTGCAGGAGCAGGGAATGAAAACAGTGAGGAACAATCTGGAGCCACTTTTCGAGACCTACATCAACAACCTACGGGTGCAACTGAACTCATTGCTGAGCGACAAGGGGAGGCTGGAGGGAGAACTTGTCAACACCCAGTACCTGGTCGAGGACTTCAAGAAGAAGTAAGTCTCGAGCTAATGCTCTACTCACCTGTGCAGGTGCAGCCTTTCTCCTCTCAACATTGTTAAACCAAATGGGCAATTCAGGAGAGTCTGAGATCCTGGAATTCCCAGCAATGACATTTTCTCAAGGAGAAATTTTCTCAGTAACCGAGTAACAGATCCAAGTACACCAACATTTACGGAATACTCATTTGGATCATTTGGAGCATGATCAAAGACTTATTAACTAAATTACCTACTGAGAGGGAAAAATTACACAGTAGGTCTGAAAGTTTCAGGGCAGCACACTTCATTTGTTTAAAACAGCAGAAGGAGGATGACTAATAGCAAAAAAAAAAGTAAAAAATAATGGATTCGTTAAAATTATTTTGAGATACTTGTTTTAACTGGTTCAGCTCCTGGTCTCTCACTGAAGGAAAAGAGCACTGTATGCAAAATGCTCTGAAGGAAATTCATTCCAGGAAACTCAAATCTCCCTGTTACCTGCCCAAACAATTACTCCCTGTGCTATCCTTCTTTAGGTATGAAGATGAGATCAACAGAAGGACCATTGCAGAGAATGAATTTGTGACTCTCAAGAAGGTGAGAGCAAATTCCAGGACACTGTGAGATGGCTCACTCTAGGGCTCTGATCACCCACTCAGTCACAAATCCACCCATTGCAATTCCAACCCCCTTTAGTTTTCTTATGGTTTCCTTCCTGGACTGTTATCATAATGTGTGTTCCTAATTTACTGATAGGGGTGTAAACCACCTGAAAATCTCTCATTCCCCAGGATGTAGATGCTTCCTACATGAACAAGGTGGAACTCCAAGCCAGGGCAGATGCACTGAGTGAAGAAATTAATTTCCTGAGAGCACTTTATGAAGCAGTGAGTACAGCCAGCTTCAAAACATCTCGGCCCTCGGTGAAAAGCTTCTCTCCCTCCATTCCTCTGAGAGCCTCTAATTCCTTCCCCCGGGAGATGCTAAATCCTTCCCCACTGTAGAGTTGCACCAACACCTGAGCTGTCCAGATAACAATCTGTAACAACCTCTCCCAGGTCTGCAGCTCACCTGGAAGGGTGAAAAGGCATCTCCCAAGGGAATTACCTCATTCCCTGTGCTTTTTGCAGGAGCTGTCCCAGATGCAGACCCAGATCTCTGACACCTCTGTGGTTCTCACCATGGACAACAACAGGAACCTGGACCTGGACAGCATCATCTCTGAGGTCAAGGCACAGTACGAGGACATTGCCAACCGGAGCCGGGCTGAGGCTGAGTCCTGGTACCAGACCAAGGTGAAGGATCTGAGGTTTCCATTACATCTCTTTATCTTGTCTGGAACAGATAAAGACTGACTCTTCCGAAAAAACCTTCCCAGCTGCTGATCTGGGCTTGAGGAGGGATTTTCAGGCCCCTGGTAACTCCAAAAATGGTGTATTTTTCCTTGACTGGTTGTTCCTCTCTGTGACAGTACGAGGAGCTGCAGGCCACGGCTGGCAGGCATGGGGACGACCTCCGGAACACCAAGCAGGAGATCTCGGAGCTCAACCGCCACGTCCAGCGGCTCCGATCTGAGATTGACAGTGTGAAAAAACAGGTAAAGGGCAGCAAACCCCACTTTTAATCAATTTACCTCCAGACTTGCAGGGAGAGGAAGGACAAGGTTGGAGCAACCTGGGCAGTTCAGCTCAGTTTGACTCTTTTTCATTCAAAAAGAAAACTGTCACTAAAGCTGCTGAAGCTGATGGTGCTGGGATAAAGCCTTGTGACTGCAAGAACAACCTGAGTCTGGGGTGGGGACTTCAAGTAGACCTTTGTGTTCCGTAGTGTGCAAACCTGAAAGCTGCCATTGCCGAGGCCGAGGAGCGTGGGGAGCTGACCCTCAAGGATGCCAGAGCCAAACTGGCCGAGCTGGAGGACGCTTTGCAACAGGCCAAGGCTGACCTGGCTCGGCAGCTCCGGGAATACCAGGAGCTCATGAATGTCAAGCTGGCCCTGGACATTGAGATTGCAACCTACAGGAAGCTGCTGGAGGGCGAGGAGTGCAGGTGGGTGGGAAACATCTAGCCCTGGGGCTGAGAATGGCACAGGAGAAGCTCAGCATTTCTGAAATGCTAAACAGGGGGCACAGACCAGGGAGATTGTCCCAGATAATGCAAAAAACAAAAATCCACGAATTGTGCTGTGATTTTATTTTTCTCCCCAAAGGCCTCTGGGAAATGTACCTTACTGTCCCCTCCTAATATCAACAGATTTCTAATCCTCTTCCTTGTGTTCCATCCCTGAACAGGCTGGCTGGAGATGGGGTCCCAGTGAACATCTGTAAGTTTCTAAAATATAAAAATTCCTGTGTCTCTGCACCAAGAAGCCAATGCCCAGAGATACTAAAACATTTCCTTCTCCTCCTTGCAGCCGTCACCAGAACAACAGTGGGAACAGGATACGGAGGAGGGAGCAACCTCAGCATGGGAGGGGGGATCTGCAATTTGGGGAACAGCTTCAACTGTGGGAGCATTCCCGGGATGAGCAGCACCACCCTCGGAGCCGGCAGCAGCTCTAGCATGAAGTTTGTCTCCAGCTCCTCCACCAGAAGAAGTTACAGGAGCTAAAATTCTCCTTCCAGTCACCACCATGCACCACAAAGCACCGAAACTGGTCCTTTACTGGGGCATGGTGGGGTCAAGCACAACCAGGGCCACCTGCACCCCAAGTCCTGTCCTACAGGAGCCCTACTTTAGGAACTCTCTCTCAGCTGTGTTGTCTCGCACACATCCTGTTGGGCTCAGCCCTGGAACCTGAGTCTCACTGGGTTAAATTTGCAGCTCGCTTGCTCCAGCTCAGCAATTTTTTGGCCGGATTTTGTATATAAAATATGTCCCATGACTGTTTGTCTCTCTTCACTTTCTGGGGTTTGTCTAATAAAAATGCACATGTAATTTATTCTATTTTGTGGTCCTTTTAATTAAAGAGGTGCAAGAGCAAATGCAAACACAGGTAACAAGAACTTTCCCTCAGGTCCTGACCAAGCTCAGATTTTTGCTCCTCACTCAAATTTACTCAGAATTTCACTCAGAATTTCATTGTCAGCAGCCAGAACACCCCAGTGCAGCAGAGCCTCAAAGGGAGGCTTAGTGTTGATTTCAGCATTCCCTCCCCACTGTTCAGGGAAAACACCTGGAAGCCAAACACCAAGACACGCCAAGGCAGGAGTCAGGCATAGGGGAAAAGGTCTGAGTTTAATTTACTTGCAGCTCCCAGCCCATCAAGCATCCAAGAGCCTGGATCCTGGGGGTGGGATCCCAGTGCCAGGTGTCTGATGTACTTGCACAAACCTCAAACAAGAGGAGCCAGAGCAACCCCCCTGGCCTTGATAGGTGAATCATCTATCCCAAACCCCTGGTCTCACCCACACCTTGGAGCCAGCAGTGCCAACATCTGCCTGAGAGGGTTGAGAGCCCTCCCTGGCTAAGGTGCTCAGTTTGGGTCCTGGTGCTGGTGTTCCCTCTATTCTAACCATACAGAGGGGCAGGATCAGGTCCACAATTGGGTCAACAGGAATTATGATCCAGATATGGTCCTACACTCAGTTAAATGTCACTGACCCAGTAGCTATAAAAAAGCTATAAATAAATCCTAAGAAAGGGATTTATTTCACTGCTGAGAAGTGAAATTCTTCAAGATCCAGCATTTCTTCGGATTTTTAGGATATGTTGGAGACAAGATCTTGTTTTGAGAAGGTAAGAGAAAAACCAGAGTAGGCATAGGGATTTCAGATGTGGTTCTGACTAATTGGGAGAAATTAATGGAGAAGTAAAAGCAGAGAAACATCTGCAGTGACAGATCTCACTGCTGGAAGGTCACTTGAATGAACAGATGTGAATGGAAAAAACATCCCAGCCCTCACTCCCTGGATTTTAAGAGGTTCAAGTAATGAATAGAGAAGCCCTCTTAGGAAAATATTCACAGATTTGGGGAAATAGAAGGGAATTGGCAGTGCTAGAATGACAGACTGGATTCAGGGTTTCCTTCAGGACCAGTAGTTTCCCATCATTTTCTAGGATGCCCTGTGTATCCCTGAGGAAGTCTCCTTCCTGAAATCTTGCAGGCTTGGTTGTGGATCTGCTGTGGGTCCCCACTCCTGCTCCACCACCACTCTCAGCAGCCTCCAGGGAAGGAGCAATATCCTCCCTCAGAACAGCAGCCTGGACCAGGTCAGCCAATGGCTTTCCTTCTGCTGCTGCCCAAACACACCCTCTCTAATGATAAGGATTTGGGATCATAAAATCCCAGAACCCTTGAGGTTGGAAAAGCCCTCCCAGGCCATTGAATCCAACCTGTGCACAATCCCCATCTTGCAACCCAGCCCAGAGCACCAAGTGCCTTGTCCAGTTCTTCCTTGGACACCTCCAGAAGGGGGACTCCACCACCTCCCTGGGCAGCCCCTTCCAATGCCCATGGAGAAATTCCTCCTGATGTTCAACCTAAGTTTCCATTGGCACAGCCTGAGGCTGCTTCCTCTTGTCCTGTTTTCTTTTGGATCAGAGCCTGACTTTCCCCTGGCTGCCCCCTCCTGTCAGGGAATTCCCCAAAACCTCCTTTTCTCCAGGCTGATCCATCCCAGCTCCTTCAGGAGCTCTCCAGACCTTTCCCTGGTGCTCCAACCCCTTCCCCAGTTCCATTCCCATCTCTGGACATGCTCCAGCCCCTAACGTTGTCAAAGGTCAATACATGGGGCATTAGCAGGAGTCTTGGAGCGCCAGACACCAAAAAACAGCTGAGGAGCGGGAAGGATGTGGAGGGAATTGTATGAACAGTGTTCTCAGACCTTTTCTTTCTGTGAAAACTGTCCACATTCCACACAAGCATCAGGGTTGGAAGAGACCTTCCAGCATGACCTAGTCCAGCTGCCAGCCCAGCACCACCATGACCACCCTAAACTATGTCCCCAAATGTGCCAAATCACCCTGATTTGGACTGACTACAGATGGTGAAATATCAGAACCTGCCCCAGAAGGGAATTCCCATCATCTGTGACACCAACACTTGGTCCCACGTCCAACAGGGACATCGGAACATGCTGCCCACTGCATCCACACCTGGGTCATAGCATAGAGAGCAAAGCCTTTCATCCAGCCTGGGAAATGCCAGGGACAGAATATTTGTTCTTCCCGGGCATCACATTTCTGGATACCTAACCAACCTATAGCTGTCCTTGCTCAAGAGCAAGGCCCTGGTCACCAGGCTGTCACCTCCTGCATCCTGACAGATTGCAGCCATGACCTGGGGCTGGTATTTCAGTAGGACAAGATGATCCCCATTAATTCTAGCCCAGCCAAGATTAAAGCCTTAGTCATAATGACATGGATGGTGCTGGCACTCAGGGGCCTGGATTTGCAGTGTGTGGAGGGAGCTGATTGCAGGTTGGTGCCCATAAGGATTTTACAGAGTTCCTTACGACAGCCTGAGGCTCAGTCACAGGAGCTCCTCTCTCTTAAAAACAGCTGTTTGTTGTAACACAAAGGAGCTGAAACACTCCCAAGAGTTATTGTCATTCCATGGTGTGTAATGCAAATGCAACAAGAAGAGAGAGAAAAAAATAGAAATAAAAATAAAAAAGCTTGGCTGAAAGGCAAAAAGATATGATGGGAAACTGCCCATTTCCCCCCTGAGACCTTCCAATCACACTCACTTTTCTGTCTGGCTGCCACATGTACCAGGACAAACTCCTGAAAGATGCACCTGCAAAAACCTGTGGCATATCCCTGTACCTGGACATGGATGGGGAAAGCTGGATTCCCAGGAATGCTCTGTGGGAGGGCTGAGGGCTGCACCTCCTCCAAGGAGTGGGTGCTCAGCTTGGGCACTCACAGCAGAGTCAAATTGTGGCCAACCCCAGAGGCTGCAGGAGCTGGGAAAAGCATGCCCACCCCTGGGCATCCAGACAAGGCACCGGGAGAGATCTGGGAGCATATTGCCTGCTCTAGGATAATTCCCTGTGTGCCAGAGCTGAGACACCATGTCCTTCACCGGGGAAATGACCTGTTTGGCTTTCCCTGGAAGCCACAGGGGGTAGGAGTGAAGAGAGGTGTCTGTGAGCAGTGTTGTAAGCACTGAACTTCCTGGTGAGTAACAGATATCAGAGGGGAAAGACAACAGACATGGGGAGGGGAGCCTGGTAACACCATGTAGAGACAAGGTCATCCCATGAGTCAGGAAACAGATCAAAAATCTTTGCAGGCGAAGCCCTGAGAAATTGCCGAGTCAGCATTTGTGGTGTCACAGATGATGGGAATTCCCTTCTGGGGCAGGTTCTGATATTTCACCATCTGTTGTCAGTCCAAATCAGGGTGATTTGGCACATTTGGGGACATGGTTTAGGGTGGTCATGCTGGAAGGTCTCTTCCAACCCTGATGCTTGTGTGGAATGTGGACAGTTTTCACAGAAAGAAAAGGTCTGAGAACACTGTTCATACAATTCCCTCCACATCCTTCCCACTACCTAGCTGATTTTTGGTGTCTGGTGCTCCAAGACTCCTCCATCATCACCCTGGCCCTCCCTCTATCACCTCTTTCCTTTTTGCTCAAAACCACAAGCTATGATCAGAGACTTTCCAGAGCTCAGACCCTGCACCAGGAACCAACCTTCCAAAATCAACCAAATTAACCTTACACAACCTGGGTTGATTCATCCATAGACTGGAGATGAGTGAGCACTTACCCAACAAGGAACCATCTCATGCAGCAGTGGAAGGAGGGAGTGGGAAAGGGGTGGCTGCAAACAGGAGCTGAGCAGCCACTATCGAGGTTTTCTCAGATATTTCAACACCAAAATAATGCAACCCCTGCACTTTTTTGAAAGCTCCATAGGTGCTTATGGTGAACTCACTGTGGGTGTGCCGGGCCCAGTTAATCAGCAGAATGAGCCCCACACCGGTGATGTCCCCTCCTCAGGAGGGTATAAAAGGCCAGTCCCAGGCAGGAGGAGAACAACTTCATCTCCAGCCACTTCCTCTCATTCCTTTATTCTTTGGATCACTCCTGGCAGCTGCCATGTCTCGCCAGTGCACCGTGAGGAGCCAGGGCAGAACCAGCTTCAGCACTGCTTCTGCCTTCATCCCAAACGCCAGCAGCTCCAGCCTCTGCCTGCACCCTGCATCCCAAGCTGGAAGCTGCAGGACCACCACTGGCTGTGGAAGGTTCACTGAAGGGTTTGGAAGCAAGAGCCTCCACAGCCTTGGTGGATACCAGAGGATCTCTGTGGCTGGAAGAGGTGGTGGCTTCTATGGACCTGCAGGTTTTGGTGCTGGCACTGGGATCTCCTGTGGGTTTGGTGGGGCTGTTGCTGGTCCCTTTGGGTTTACTGGTGACCCTAGATTCCCTGGTGTCCCATCTGGGGGCATCCATGAAGTGTCAGTCAACCAGAGCCTTCTGAAGCCACTCAACCTGGAGATTGACTCTAACATCCAGAGTATCCGTAAGGATGAGAAGGATCAGATTCAAACCCTCAACAATAAATTTGCCTCCTTCATCGACAAGGTGAGACCTGAGATTCCTGGTTATGCTGTGGGGATTCTTTGGTGGGGAAGTACAAAAATTATATCTTTAGCCACAATTTTGCTGCTCCTGTTCTAACATCCCAGCAGCCTGGGAACACATCCTGAGGGTTTCCATCTTTGAGGTCATTTAAATCTTTTGGGAATGCTTAGGTGAGACCAGAAAACAGAAACAAAGTGGTGGTACTGGATGTAAGGACACAGAATCAGGAAAGAAAGCAGGAGTGTTTAAATTATCAGCTGTGCCCAAAGGGCTGAGACCTTCCATCTTCTAGCAAGTGAATCCTTGCAGAATGTCCCTTACATCTCCAAGGAAAATCTTAAAACACCTTTCTCTCTCCAGGTCCGATTCCTTGAACAACAAAACAAGGTCCTGGAGACCAAGTGGGCCC